AAAGTAGTTGTCTGTGGCAATACTCGAATTTTAACATCCCAATAAATTGTTAGGATTCTGTCCCATCTGACCTAATCCCAGTTCATTAAGCCCTTAATGATCTTGAAGTAATTTAAAATTGACAAAAAAGCAAATGATGTAAAAGTTTTGGAATTAGGTTGTTTCATATCGAGTATGGGTCCTTCAGGGCTGATCCAACATTTGGAAATTCTCCTAAGTTATCAAATTTGATTCAAACTGTTAAATTGATCCATCAACTTGTTATCTAACCATATTGCATCAGCTGGACTTTTAAATGACGATAAAATCATTTGTTTGTGACGATGAAATGAAAAGGTAAAGTGGTACTGATGGTGCTTCATTTATAGAGTGTGTAGATGTGCTCCAAACTGCAAAGTTTTATTATTCATTGTTCGTCTGATCATAAAGATAGGATATGCATCAATAACTACCTTTCAAGAAAAACATTTGATGCTCAAAGTCTAAAATCAAACAAATTCAACCTCAACATATATAACCAAATATTCCAAACAATTCACAGGGTTATTTGACAAATTGGCTGAAATAAAAATATTACAAAACATCTAATGAACATAGACCATCATAAGTAACACCTTATCGTCCACTATGAAATGGTGACATGACATGTTTTGCTATGCTATCACAAGCTGCTGAATTGCTCATACTAGTGCCACCACTATAAGCATCTGAAAGTTGATCTCCAAGCAAATACTGAGTCTCTTCTAAATTTTTCTTGTCATTTAACCATGAGTTTTTCTCCATCATTCTCAATCCCTCTAGCTCCATTGCCACTTCCTTCATGGTTGGCCTTTCGTCACCTTTCACTCTTAAGCATCTCTTTGTTAAAATAGCGACTTCCTTTAGTTGGTCAGCCTTTGCATCATTTATCACCTGTTCATCAACAATTTCAAACAAGCGATCTTCTTTCATTGCTGAAATAAAATACATTGCTAAATTTCTATCTGCTTCAGGCCTGTCAAAAGAAATTGCTTTCTTGCCGGTTAGCAATTCCACAAGGACAACCCCAAAGCTGTAAACATCACTCCTTTCAGTCAATTGGCTTGTTTGGAAGTACTCTGGGTCCAAGTAACCAAGTGTACCTTGAACCAATGTGGTTAATTGAGTTTGGTCTACGGGGATCAACCTTGAAGAGCCAAAATCGGATACTTTTGCAATGTAATTGTTGTCTAATAGTATGTTAGTGGACTTAACATCTCTATGAATGATAGGAGTGCTAGCAGCAGAGTGCAAATATGAAAGGGCTGCTGCAGTTTCTGTTGCTATCCTTAAACGATTCTCCCATGTTATTGAGGATGTGCCACCTACAGTGTGTATGTGGTCATAGAGAGTCCCATTGGTAATAAATTCATAGACTAGTAAAGGAACTTGCGTCTCCAAACAACACCCTAGGAGTTTCACAACATTCCTATGGTTGACTTGGGAGAGAATTATGACTTCGTTAATGAATTGCTCAATCTGGGACTGGCTCTGTTCTGCTACTTTGGACTTCTTAATGGCAACTACGGTGTTATCTGGTAATACTCCCTTGTAGACTGTTCCTTGGCCACCTTGGCCCAGGATTCTACTTTCATGGTAGTTGTTTGTTGCCTTCTTAAGGTCCTCTGCAGTAAAGATTTTAGCGGACTGTACTGATCCTTCACGTATGGAAAGTTGTTGTAACATGATCCCACCATTTTGCTGAAAGAACTTCTCTCTGCGATTGATGATATTCCTTTGCCTATATCCCCAATATAGCCAGGAGCCACCAAAAAGTAGCAATGATATGCTTATGCTTATGCCTGTAGGGATTGGAATGGAGATGTCAATATTGAGAATTCAAGTTTCAAATTAGTTTATGAT